CAAGAATCTTGTCCTAAAGATTAATAATATATTAGTTATCCATCTATCAATAAATGTTAGGCAATCTATTACAGGGATCTTATGATTGTCATCATATTTATTGCATTCATATGTTCCATCAGATAATCATGGGCTCCTGTATATTCTGATTAGACTGTCATTCTACGTGATGGTTTTCTTGCTCATTTTTCTCATCCATTCTTGGTGCCATGCAAAAAGGAATGTATATGAAGAAGGAAGTGAGTGTCATCTGAGTAACATGAGAAACTGAACCTGGAGGAATACAGGTGTGTGATCTTCATTTACTTGGGCTAGTACAGGGACACTGATGTGGGTCTTTGCAGAGAGAACAGCTGAGCCCTTGTTCTTTCCCTCAGTTCTCAGAGCAGTGACTAATTCTTCACTGTATATTCACATTCAAAGCAAACTAATATCTAGAAGAAGGTTTTATGAAAGAGAGAGCACTAAAGAGAAAACTAGGAGCATAGAGGAAGAAAGAGATCGGGCTGGAACATAGAGATACAGAACATCTGGTTCTCATGTATGGGAGAAGAGAAACCTTGGGTTTTTACCATATCTCTCATTAATAAATTGGTACTTGAAATGAGCATGCAAAAGTACTTTCTTAGATGTAATTAGTTACTCCTATGCTCTAAAAATGCAGTATCAATGACCAAGGGTATGAAATGAAAAGAATTTGGAAGGGATAGGTCCTCATGAACTCACACTTTCCCATGAAGGTTGAGTCCTACATCCCCTCATACTGCACAAGAATATGTTCATATAAAAGCACTCAACATTTGCCTCTTTATAGGACCCTGAAGGAAAATAAACGCAGAAAGTGACATGCACAGAATTTGATCAGTGGATCTTCAAACAGCAATTTATCAGGACCAGTTCCTCACAGCCCAAGGAAGACTCCACATGTATCAGGGTGTGCATGGGAGTTATGAAATGATGAGCTGAGATCAAAGGTTGTTGGTACCCTATGAGTTCTCAAAGAAAGATATCAGGAATTCTTCTCTAAAGACCACAGCTCTTTTGGAAGCAAAAATTAATAGACGTAGTGAAATAATTGCTCTAATCATAGGATAGAGGTCTCTAACTTTGGCACCATTTGTCATTATTCTGATATGGATCTTAATGTGGATTTCCTACACTTAAAATGCTATGGTTCTCACTTTTCCTTTGGATAGAAATCAAACTATAATATGATATTAGACTTGAAATGTTAAAGCCTGCTAAGGGTTCATTTTTGTAATTGCCTAATCTTGCACAACTTTAACAAAATTTCTTTGCATGTTTCTGTAAATTAAAGCTTGCTGGGTACCAGATGACCTTCTGTTTGCCTGAAGATAGAGTGTAATGTTAGGTACTCTGCCTTTAAAATCCCCTGATTGAGGTGTCTTGGGGCTGCCTTTGGGAACCCCAAGTCTCAGGTATATATCTGGTATCAGTATGTGAATAAAAACCTTTGCTTTCTTGAAATTTATTAATGATCAGAGAGGTGAATCTCTGAATGAGCCCACTTTCATAACGCTATGATCCTGTAAGTAATCACAATATCACAATACCTTCTTAGTTCAATAAAATAGATCTGTCTGGTTCATTTATTGGATCTGTCATGGGTGCCCTATCTGCTAGAATCAAGAGATGTATACTCTCGTTTTACCAGAAACATTCACAAAACCTTTGTACACACTAAAATTCTTAAATTCAATTTTGTTGCTGTGATAAAAGCCCATGATCAAAAGCTAATTGAGGTAAAGGGTTTCTTTGGCTCACATATCTTAAATATGCCAGGTCACAATCCATTGAGGGAAGCCAAGGCAGGAACATGGATGAATGAAATGAAACAGATGCAATGAAGATTCACCACATACTTGAATGTTCTTCATGGCTTGGTCAGCCTGCATTATTCTGCAATTGATGATGACCTGTCAAGAAGTAGAACTACCCATAGAGGTCTAGGCCTTCCCACATCAACCTTGTAACAAGAAAATTCCCAACAGATTGCCTCCAGGCAATTTGTGTGGATGCATCTTCTCAACTGATAATTCCACTTCCCAAATGACTATATCTTGTTTCAAACTGACAAAAATAAATAAGTAAATAACTGGGACACTACCAAATAGGTTCTCTTTTGCATTTTCTTTGTTTTGATATATGACAAAATGTGTTT